GCATACGTCTTTTGAAATGTTTGTTTAATCAATCGACTCTTTGGATGCTATCAAAGAGGGTTTTATTATCTCCCACAAAGATAACATTATCATAGCCCAATTTCCTTCTTTCACTGCCATTAGCAACGCCAATGCTTCTGCTTCCAATGGGGTCGAGGTTGGCTCAATGGATGCTTTGCCGTGGAGAATTTTCTTCCCATTTTTCCAATAAAGCGCCCATGCAATTCTCACAACATCCTTGTCCGATATCCAAGAAGCTCCAATATCCAAGTAACTCTTAGGACTTCTTGAAAGTTATGAGGAATAAAAGTATTGTTGTTAACGTTTTCCTCAATACAAGCATCTTTATTTCTATTTTGTGCTTCCTTCCACATCTTAGCATAGGTTTACAGCTTTGTTAATGACTACATGAAGTGGTTCCCTTTTGTTTTCAAAAATTACTCTATTTCACATTTTCCAAATTCTCCCGCCAATGAACATAGATAAAGCTTTATTATCTGAATTCATAGATGGATTGAGAACGGGTGCAGTAAGGTTCTGAAGCAAAGAATCAGATTGTATAGAATCACCTGAACAAGGCAAGACTTGTGCTACCTAGTCAACACTGAAATGAACCCCATCCACGCTTCTCTAAAAAAGTGTTCATATTTGTTAATTGTTATAATGTTGTTATATCTCTATTATTTATTTCAACTATTATTTAGAGCCATCCTTTTGAATATCCCGTAGACAAAAAAAAATGGATCTTCTCACTCAAAACCTAAGAGAAACTTACCATTAAAGCTAAAGAAAACAAGATCATAACATGCCGAGAAAATTACCAGAGTTTGAGAATCTCTTTTATAATGATGAGATTTGTTGTAAAAAGAGTTTCTCCTCTCACCTTCAAAATCTCTTGTTTAATTTCAGATTACCCATTGATGATTCCTCTGACGTAACTCTTTTTCCGTTGTCTATTTTTAGCACCATCTGTAGCTTAGCCCTCTCCTTTCTCCTTCATTTCTATCTTTGCTATCATTGCATCACACCGTGGAGAGACTTTGTCCTGAAGTAGACATCCAAAACTTTCAATTTGTTTTAATCTAATTCGACCACGTAAATTACTACTCGCCGAGTTACAACCTTACCATTTGCCATGCCCTATCTACTCCTTACTTCTAATGTATATGTAAAACAAACAAAGATGGATATGAATATGTTACTGATCGAGAATAAGATTTCGAACAGAGAATCTTGCTAAGCAGCTGTTGAATTTTTGTGGATCCAACTCTGTTTTTCTTTTTTTTTATTAGAATTGGATACCTTTTACAACACCATGCATACACACATAACTTTATAGTAGTTTCTCTACTTACTACACACACTTCTAGCTTAAGACAACTTCTCCTAGTCTATACCTCTAGATACTAGACTAGTTTTACAAGCAAGACATTAAGCAACTCTCTTACACAACAACTCTACTTTGGTACTTCACCTAGTCTTGTACTAACCGAACACACAATCTTCTATCTAATGGTCCAATATTTTCCTTAATTCAAAGCTACACAAAGCCCACTTTCTTCTTATGTTGACTTTGCA